GTTGCAGCGGTTGCAGCGGTTGCATCGACAGCTCTGTGAGACTATGGTCAATTAAGGATACGATTGGAAGATGCCGAACAGGGCCGAACTGAGTGTACATCACCATCACGCTTGTGCACTGAAAGACCGACAGGAATAAATGGCGAAACGAACATTAAGCTGTCACAATTCGCCCTTGCACCAATGGACAGCTAAACAGGGCTTTCTTAGTCATCGATCGATGAGTGAATTGTCGTCGAATTTGATTGTCTCTGGAAGCGCTGGCCAATGGTGGCGCTGTAAACGGCTCGCCTACTTGGTCAGGCCAGGCCAGGCCAGGCCAGGCCAGGCCGGGCAGGGCCGTATCGGCTCAGCTCAGCCTGACAGGCCTGGCACGAACTGGCCCAGCTGTCCTGGCACGCCGCTGCACGGCACGGCACGGCACGGCCCGGCCCTGCCCTGCCCTGCCCGGCCCAGCCTGGCCTCGTTTGAATAGGCCAGGCAGCGTCAACTCTAGTCGTGGCCTCATCAAGTGAACAGGCGAACGGGCGAACGGGCGAGCTGGCGAGCTGGCTGAAATGCGTCATTCCGCAATGGGGAGAGTCAGGCCACTGGGCAGCTGGGCCGTTCTGATTGGTCGCTCAGTAGCCAATTAGCAGGCAACACAAATGCAGGCTTTGGAGAATAATCATCCTCGCCGATCTACCGTACAATTCGGTGGCTAAAGGCCGACTCTAGTCTACCTCTGGCATCGGGCCTCGTCCGGCTTTCGCCTCGGATACAGCCGCCATTTTGAAGATAAATCTCCTCTCCCTGGCCTCTCTCGGCCGCAGACCCTGGCCTATTAGGCCCTCACGACACCACATTTGTGCCCGATTGTTTTAATCTCATGCTTCAGGACTATACTAACAAAGCCGGGCCAGTGTTATGACGGCCCAGTCGAGATCACAACTTTCACTAAGCCTACGCCTCACCTCGCAGGACAAGGCAAGACGACCCTCTCTGGGCGGTGGATCCTCGGCTCGTGAGGTGCACAAGACCTGGTGAGACTTTAACTTGTTTCACGTTGTCACGTTCCCCAAATGCCATGCGGGTCGACGTGAGCATTGCGCCTGGCCGTGTAGTTCGCATTTCCCATTTGGTACATCATCTCATTAG